CTGTGGCACGCAGGCCCCGGCCATCAAAAGCCTCATTTATGCCCCACAGAGACTTAAACCCCTCTTGAGCAGTCACCTGGTGAGCCCCATGTCCCCAGTTCGGCCTGGCTGCACGGGCATCGCGCCTCTGCTGAAGGCACATGGCAGCGGGATCCCACCCTTCCCACCGTGCATTCCCAAGATGTCCAGGATGTTGTCCCCTTATCCACAGCCGTTACACCCATGCACACGCAGGCACACGCATGGGCCCCCCAGCGCAGCCATGTCCCTGCGCCCGCAGCGATGGGAGCAGGAGCTGCCCATGCCGGCGCCTGCCCTGTCCCTGCTCTGGCTGCAGGAGGGACTTCGGGAGCACTTTGAGGCTTTTCTGCCTTTCCCAGGCACCAAACCCCATCCCGAGCCAGCCCCAGCCCCTTTCCTTCCCCGTCCCCTCCGGGTGCTCCCAAGCCATGGCACCAGCAGTGGGGACACAACTGCCGTCCTGGTGGTTCATGGCCCGGTTTGGCCGCACTGGTGGGGATGCTGCACCCAGGGCTGCCAGGGCAGCTCTGCCTCGTGCTTTCTGGGGACCCTGCACCTCAGGTACAGATTAGTGCTTCTCCTTCCTCACTCCAGCTGCTTGTGCCTGGGTGAGGACAGAGCCTGAGCCCCCTCAGTCAGGAGAAGGGAAAGATCCAGACCCTAAAAGCTCCAATCCCTAAGGATGATGGATCACAGCCCCAGCTCCCCGCCATGCAGGGCGCAGCCAGCTCACTGGGATCCCGTATACCTGAGCTGGGTCTAAATTTGGGGCGTCGGGCTGAGCGTTTCTATTGTTTTGCCTTTGTTCAGAAACTGAGACGCCGTAAACACAACCTCAAACCACCCCGACAGCCCCTGAACCCAACCACCAGCTCTGAGCCGTCCCACTGGCAAGGCAGGGCTGCTCCTCGACAGGAAACAGGCAGCAGTAAGAGGATAAAAATACTCCTGGTGCAAACAACACGTCTGTGTGCAGGGATTAGGGCGCTGGGGGCTGCTCCAGCCCTGCTGAGCGGGGAGCCAGGCTGGGTGACCCTGGTGGCTTTGGCTTCCAGCACACGTGAGCTGAAGGCTCTAAACTCACCCAGCAGCTGCATGGGGTGAGCTGGGGAAGTGAGGGGAGGGCTGGGGGGATGCTCAGGGAGAAGCCAGAGATCCCAGCCCAGCTCCTGACCCTGAATCCCCTGGAAAAGGGGGGAGACCACAGAAAGCACCAACATCCAAATCCTCCTGAAGAGCCCCAGCGCCAAGGGAGGGTCCCCCCTCCTTCACGGGAGCACCCTGCCCTGGTCCCAAGGGGAGGGGAAGGTTGTGGGGGTCCCACGCTGCTGGCCTCACCCCCCACCCAGCTCCCAGTCCCAAGCAGTGGGTGCATTTGAGTGCTCTGAGCCCCACCACAAGGCCCCTGACCCCCCCTGAAAGCCGACTAAGGAGATTATCTCTCCTCACATGAGCCACTGGCCCCACAGCCTTGCACCAGGGAGGGGACACAGGGGTGACAGGGACAGGGGAACTTGTGCTTGGGAGCCCCACGAGGGTCCCTGTGGGTGCGGGAAGGGGCAGAGTGATGTTTTCCTGCTTGGCTTGGGGCAAGGGACGTCCTGGGAGCAAGAAACCACCTGGACACTTGGAACAGCTCTTGTGGGGTGATTTCAGAGCAGGCGCTGACCCCAAACCCCAGCACTCTGCCCTTCTGTGGGGCAAAACCCACAGGCACACCAGCAGGCCATAGGGATGTCCCCATGTCACAGCTCCCTCGGAGACTGAGGCCACCCGCCACCTCTGCTCCCATGATCCCATGGGATCCCTTAATCAAACAGGACAGGAGCTCATGGGGGAATGGGCCCCCCACCATCCCCACAGCCTGATTCAAAGAGACAAGGTGGGGAAGACAATGGGCTCCATCCCCATCTGCAGCACCTCGGCACTGGCAACGCAGCAGAGGCCAGAGCCCGAGGGGCTGGGGCACAGGGAAGCCAGCCCACGAATACCCAGGGAAAGGGCACACACATGTAAAACGTTCAACCTCTGCTCTTTATTCAGTGCCTGGTGCCCTCGCCCCGTTTCCCGAGGGTACAGAGGAGGTTTCCCAGGGGTGACCTGAACATGGGGAGCGCTCTGAGAAGGCAGAGCGGAGCCAGGCTGGAGGGGGTGTGGGACAGGGGGGCACCTCCTCCGTACATCCCCAAACTCCCCTTGGGAACACGGCTCTGCCCCAGCTGCGGGGTGAACACCAGGCACCCCAGTGCCACCACTGGCAAAGCTCCATCCAGAGCAGGAACAGCCATGTCCTCTATCCCAGCCTGCAGCGATGCCGGGGAGGAGGCCGGACCCCCCGCCCCTCTCCAACTCGCCTTATTGCTATAGTCAGAGCAGCAGAGCAGCCAGGAGGAATTCAGGAGTTCGCTGGTTTAGGAGAGGGGATGAGGACATGTCCGAAGCCAAGGATACGCCACCTGATGGGCTCTCATCTTTCTGAGGAAGGGGGAAGGAGGGAGCTGCCGTCTCTTGCCGGCCCGGCCAGTGGTGCCACCAGGAGTGAGGATGTGTCCGCTCCAAAGAGGCACCCCCCCATCCGCTCCAGGGCCTCCTGCCCTCTCCTGAGCCTGGAGCTGAGGCTGTACAAACTCACTGCACCTCTAGCAGCAGGGACTGGGCAGAGACAGTGAGAGACCTGAAGACGCAGGCAGCCCCCCTGCCCCATGGCCAGTTTCCGTTGCTTGGGCGGCA